TGAAGTGTCCCGGAAAATTCTGCTGCCTAGAGAGTGGAGAAACATGCAAGTAATTAGGGCCCCTGAGCTGCATTTTGGTTTCGGGGGTGATTACAGTGAATTGTGAGTCAGGCACGTTGGGTCGTCTCCCTCTCTGAAGACGATGGCACTCTTGCTGTGTGGTCTGCCTTAAGCTCGCTCTGAAATGGGGATGGTGGGTCAGCTCGTGAAGGAACAGGGAGAACCAGTGATTTCACGTACAGAACGCACCAGGGTAAGGAAAAACTCTGTCATTTTTCAGCACCTCAGTACTGTGGGGAAGGAGGCTCCAAACTGGGTTTGCCCATCCCAGTGGGGACTGCAGCCAGCCCTGACTTGAGATTTCCAGGCTCTTGGTTAGGAAAGGAACACGAACATCTGCTGTGGGGTGTAATGCTCGGGCATCTCCTCATCCCTTGGGTTTGTTCATGGTGCTGTATTTTTTTTGTTTTCACTTTTTTATGGGCAAGTAACACAATTAACACCCGCTCAATAACCAGGTTTAAATACGGAGTCATGTAAGGTAAAGCATCCTTTAACTTAACCTTCTGCTTCATGTTTGGCTGCCCACAGGACAGGAAGTTAGATTACCAGAGGTACGTGGGCTCTGAAAAAATTAATTCTTACCAGATGAATGACTTGTCTGATCTTGCTCCCAGCAATGCCCAGAGTGTCAAAGAAATGTGAAAAATCCTTCTTGAGACTTTAACATCTTTTCCTGTCAAGTTTTTTTTTAATGAGTTTTGAATTGCAGCCTTCTTCCAGACCTGGAAAGGAAGAAAGGAATTGCTTCCCTTGTTGCACTGCTGACTTTACCAGGCGATGCTCTGGATGCCGACGCATACGCTGTTGTGTAGTCTAGAAGTGCTGCAGGGGTTCCAGATGATCCAACCCTTGCAGAGATCCTGCCCCACCATCGTACGTGCTGACTTGCTACCGTTTTCTTTTCAGGGCTGAGAAGGTTGTTTCTGCCTCGCTCTGCGTGCTCTTTGCCTCTTGGCAAAGTTTGGGAAGTACTCACCTGTTTGGGAAGGATCAGCAAGCGCTGCGCGTAGAGCAGTGTTCGGAAGCAGCTGTGCATTACATTAGCCTTTAAGCCATAAAACTACTCGGGAAAGATGATATGTGCGCTCACTGAACCAGAAGCAGCGGTCCTGGGGACTGCAACAGCTGCAGAGGCTCATCGTCTTCATCAGAGTTGTGTTTAGTGATTGACTGATAAACCTTCTTTGCCGCTGCTTTGTTTTTACATTTCTGAAGTAGGACATCTGGGACAACAAAAAATAGTTTTTGTCTGTCGTCCCCGTGAAGCTGTGTGGGCCGGAGAGGGAGAATTTCTTATCAGATCTGGCAAATCTTATCTCCTCTTGTGAATGTTGAAGGTTTTGCTGTATCCTCAGCGTGGCTTTGAGGACAGATGAGGACTTTGAGATGAGTAGTTCTGTCTATCAGTACAGAAGTGGTTTCCTGTTGCTTCTGTGGTTCTTTCTGTGTGTTTCAAGCTCTTCCCCACCTCCATCTGTGTGAGAGGCATTCTTGTAGCGCTCAGCATCTTATAATAGTTGTGTGTGTGCGGGCACAAGCAGCTAACGAAACTCTCGTCCCTCTTTAGGACAGCAGCGATGAAGCACTGTTTTTACAATGAGACTGTGGGGTTCTTCTACAATAACAGCCGCAAAGAGCTGACCACGTACTGGAGGACGAAGGATGTCCTGGTGGTTGCCCTGGGTCTGACAGTGAGTGTCATTGTGCTCCTGACCAACCTGCTGGTCATCACCGCAATCGTCATTAACCGGCGTTTCCACTACCCCATCTACTACCTCCTGGGGAACTTGGCGGCTGCCGACCTCTTTGCTGGCATCGCGTACATGTTTCTCATGTTCCATACGGGGCCCAGGACAGCAGAGCTCTCCCTGAAGACCTGGTTCATCCGTCAGAGCCTGCTGGACACCAGCTTGACAGCCTCTGTGGTGAACCTGCTGGCAATCGCCGTAGAAAGGCACCAGACTGTTTTTACTATGCAGTTACACAGCAAAATGTCCAACCAGCGTGTGATGATTCTCATCTTCTGTATTTGGGTCACAGCTCTGCTCCTGGGGCTCATCCCTTCCTACGGCTGGCACTGCCTCTGTGCCCTGGAGAAGTGCTCCAGCATGGCACCGCTCTACAGCAGGAGCTACCTGACCTTCTGGGCCATCTCCAACCTGGTCATCTTCCTGATCATGGTGGTTGTGTACACGCACATCTTCATCTATGTCAAAAGGAAGATGACGCGGATGTCCAAGCACACTAGCTTCCACCCCCGCTACAAGGAGACCATGATCAGCCTTGTCAAGACGGTCACGATTATCTTGAGTAAGTCCGCTTGCTGTAATCAGTCTAAATGATGCTTTGATCCTCCATCCTGGGTTGTGTGGGGTTGGGAAGGGGAATGTGCTCGGGACAATGGGCAGGGTTGGGGAGTGACTTTCTACTTCCCTGGTCTCTGATGATCCTGGGGTGATGGTTTGGTTTGGCTGCTGAGGAATTCTGTGTGAGCTGTAATGGGAGTGATGTGGCAGACAGAGGGGTGACAAGCTCCCGAATATCTTCCCCCTCCGTCATGGCTGCTCCTCTGCTCTAGCAGGGAGGAGAGGAACTGTGATGTGACCTGGTGATGTGCAGGTGCTTTGGGCACAGAAATGGCTCTTTTCACGTGCTCAACTCCAGTACGCTTCCTCTGTAGAAGAGTAGTGTTGAATTAGGAGCTAAAATTGGGCCTTAATTAAGAAGCAGCACTTGGTGCATCCTTTTATTAAAGCATGGAGAGAGGTTTGGGGCAGATATGACAAGATGATGGGGGAAGAATGAGGGAGTTGCATCCAAATTCCTTACTGTTTACTGGAACAAAGCACTGAATTCTGTTCAGATTAATTTTTTTTTTTGAGCAGCTCAGTACTAGATCTCAATCTACTGGGGTAAATATACCCCTGGAAAGTCTCAGCTCTTCGTTCGAGCTGCTCTCGATGAGCATGGGATTTCCAGCAGAGTGCTAACTGCCTGTTAGTCTGTCTGCATCTGCGGTTTGCAGTGCAAATAAGAGCAGATCAGTAACTGGAAGTGGTTGGTGCTCAGGCTTTGCCTCTCCAGGATATTTAACTTTATTCGGTTATGTGCTGTTCTGCCCAGTGCTGTGCATCCAACAGCAGAGGTCGAGGCACGCATTGTGCTTTCACAGCCTGTCGCTCCACGGTTTCTTAAAGCATGAGGCAAAAACAGTTTAAATGGTCTAACAACCTTTCTTTAAAGTGAAATAAATCGATGTGCTCAGATCTTCTGCAACCCGGCTCGACTCTGGGCTTACGGTCACAACCTCTTGCTTGCAAATCTTTTCCTGATAAGCACAGAATTTGCTCTGTCAGGGAAACCTTGTAGCTGCAAACAAAGACTACTCCCTTGCAAACTCCCAGCAGGGGAAGGGAGCAGGCTGGGAGCAGTGGCCGAGGGGAGGGCTGTCAGGCTGCTTGGTGTGTCCTTGCTCAGGGGCAGGCCGGCTTGCCGGGTCCTGTTGCAACTTGTGAGCATCCAAACCAGAGTTTTCTGCCCGTTCCTGCCTTTCCTGTGATGTCGTCTTCCCTGCCTTGCAATCTGTCTCTTGTGTGCAGCTGGGAGTTCATTGCTGCCTTGGAGCTGATCGGATGCTGCACAGAGGGTCAGCGAGGCTGAAGAATTATTTACTTCATATATTTTGCACAGTTTACAGTGGAGAGAGAAGTTGTTTTGTTCCCCCTTTCTTCCTGAACAGTATCAGAGGGTCACCCAGTGGTGTCAGCAGGACTGCTTGATTTTTATAATATCAGCTAGAAGAGGATGGGGATGTTGGCGAAGAAGGAAAACACAATTTGCATTTGGTGCCTCACCTTGTTTTGGAAGATCCCTGTCTTCTTGGTGTTCCTTTCCCCCCCACCCCAGCTTGGCCTGCTTGCTTTTTGTTTTCTGCATTGAGCAAGCAAGGGAAAAGCTTGGGTCAGAGAGCTGCTGTGGTTTCCCAGGGAGTTGGGACTGGTGTCTGAGGCTGGATGGAGTCAGGAGGAACCTAATGTGGAAAGCTGAGGGAGACTCAGGAGTTCATCAGGCCTTTGGGACTCTTGGAACCCAAGGTTTTTTGGCTCCTCTTCCTCTGCAGGGCAGTGTTGGAGAGAAGCAGCAGTCAGTTCTGTACAGGTCCCTCGTACCGGAGGGAACGAGAGAGGGAATTGCTCAGCTCAAAGAAAATACCTTTCCATTCAGATTCGGTGTACAGAAAATTGAGACTGCAGAGGGTTTTCTCCCTCCCTGTGAAAGCCCTGGTGTAATTCCTTCTCCGCCCTCGTTCCCCAGCCTTCTGCAAACTTGGACTCGGCACAGAGGAATACTTTGCGCCTTATGTATCGGAGGGCGTAGTCGCTGGTGAGCATGCGAGGAAGCTGAGGGTGCGGTAGGAGCTGTCTGTGTGTGCCACTTCATGGCAAGGCAAGGTAGCTGTGGTCAGTCATCCTGCAGGTCCTGGGTGTTAAGAACAGGTCTAGGAGCTGAACTGGAAACCAGAAAGTTGTCCAAGGTACATCTGGAAACTCATAGTAAATTTTCTCGCAGACCAGTTGAGTGATACAGGATGTTGTGATGACCAAACCACAGGGCAGAGTTGTTAGTGACCATGCTGTGTTAGACAATTAAGAGTTCAGGCTTCTTTCTGAATACTTTAGTTTCCTTTAAGGGGCAAGGAAATCATCTGGATTTGCAGTTCCAGGCCCAAAACTTTAGGTACCTCTTATTTTTATTTTTTCTTTCCCTCCTCTCATCATTAATATTCCTCTGGCTTTACTTAGTGCTGCTGGGAGTTGGTCTCTAGAGAATCGGCCTTGCCTTGTGGATGCTGAAAACCTGGCTTAAAAAAAAGTTACATCACTGAACAAGGAGGTCCCTTTCCTGCAGGCTCACTCAAGCTAGAAATATTGTACCTTCCCTCATGACAACCAGGAATCTCTTTTGTATATTTGCTAAACTTAAAGGGGGCAAAGCTGCCTGGCCCAGATGTGGTGGCTGCTGTGCTGGCTGCCTGGGAGCGTGATTCCCTTAAATAAAAAGGGTTACGTGATGCAGTGGCCTGAAATCAGCGGGGAACACTCCCAGAAACCCAGGAGATCCCTCCCGAGTGTTCCTTTGACTCTTCACCACTGCAGCATTTCACTCCATGACAGCTTTAAGTTCACCCTCTCGGTTTTGGTGCAGCTCCTCCAGCTGTTGTTCTTTCCTGAGAGATGTTTTTCGGTAAAGGGTGTAGTTGCAACCTTTCCAGCAAGTCTGTTTTCTTCCTCCCTTTCCCAGAAGACACAGCAGGGTGCAGCTCCCGGGCTTTAGGAGACAACCTTACGTATCACCTCCAGGAGCACTGATGGGCGAGTGCTCCGATGACGTCAGCTTTAAAATCATGACTGTAAAAAGGGGTTTAGGAGCCGCAGGCACCTCCCACTTCGTCATGCAAAACAGCAATTATTCTTTTGCCAACGAGCTTTGGCAGGTGGTGGCAAGAACATAGTATCAGCCTGACTGAAGCAGTGGTGGAGTTTGTCCAGCTCAGGCCTGATGTTGGCCAGCCCATTGCTTGGCTTATAGCTCTGTGAGAGAGACTTCATCGGACTGCCCAAAGTGTGGGCCGGGACTCGTCTAAACTCCTACTGTTAACTAAAACCCCCATAAATTGTATGGACAGTGGAGATTATTTCATTCAAGATGTGCTACTCTGACTCTTCCCTAATCTTATGGCCTGTTCCCCTTTTTCTGGAGGGAGTGGCACGTAAATAGGAAATATGGATACTTTCTCTTTGCTCTGTAAATGCAAAGATGGGGATGAGGGGAGGTAAGTGAAAGTACTTGAAGTATCGTTATGAGTGAATGGGGTGGGGAAAAGGGGCAGTGTGGAAAATCCCAACACCTCTATTTGTGGTATTTGCTGGTTGAGTCCTTGGTCTTCTTCCAGAGTGAAAATATAGAGTGAAACTGGTTTGTTCGTGTGGGTTTTATTTTTCCCTCTCCATGTAACTTTTTTTCACAAGATAAAACAGTGATTTCATTGAGCATCTTTATGGTGAGAGGGCCAGGAACCTGTTTGGTTTTTTGGTTTTTTGTTGGTTTTTTTTTCTAACAGGGATTCTTCTCTCCCCAGGTGCTTTTGTTATCTGCTGGACCCCAGGACAAGTTGTGCTCCTCCTGGATGGCTTGGGCTGCAAGAGCTGCAATGTTCTAGCGGTGGAGAAATACGTCCTCTTGCTGGCAGAGATCAATTCGTTGATAAATGCTATTGTCTACTCTTACAGGGACAACGAGATGCGTAGCACCTTCCGGAGGATCCTCTGCTTTGTCTGTTACAGGAATTCCAAATATACCCCTACAGTGGTGAAGTTAAACACCACAGACCGTGGGACACTTTCTCAGAACGGGCACTTTACTGTGGATTCCTCTATTTAGCTCTTGATCGGCGAGACCAACACGGTGCTGAATGGCGACCGCTTTCTGAGCGGAAGAGCAGAGGCTAAGAGCGACCTGCTTCTAAAGCAGTAAAGACTTCTTTTTATGTGCTCAAGCATAAATATTTCTATAGAATACTTGTCACTGATAAAGGACAAGATGCTTTTAAGGAACTGCTGGATGGTGCGTTATTTAGGACAAACATACTTTGAGTAGTATTCTTATTAAAGACTGCTCTTTCTAATGCAAAGTTGATTTAATTTAGCAGCATCTAGAGGTATGCTATGTGCAACAGGAATCTCACGTGATCTCTCGACGAGCAAAGTATTTTCTTGGTACTTCAGTATTACTGCCTTCAGAAATAGGCGTTCCAGTGGTAGCGTACTCCGAAGAGCCAAAGCTCTTCAGCTTTTACGCGTTGCTTCCTAAACAGAGCTGCTTAGTGTTTCCCCAGAGAGTCTTATGCAGGTCGTGTTCCACCCACTGCAGAAGTCGTATTCTTCTGAAGGCCTCTTCTGAGAGGAATCTGTTTGAATTGCTTCCTGAGAAGCAGATTCCTGCTTTCCCTAAGTGTCTGTTGCTGAATTTCAGAGTATTTCTGGGCTTTTGGAGGTTGTCTTAGGAGCACCTAATTCTTTCCTAAAATGGAGAGTGGTGCCGTAACTTCTCTGCAGTTGTGTTTGTGTTCTGCTAAGTGATACCATGTGGTATTCACAAGTTCATTGCCTATTCATAAATGTGGAGTGAGTCATGTTCCCATTAAACCATCGTTCTACTCGCTGAAAGCCCTTTGGGACAGGTTTAGGTTAGATTCGAAGGCAATCAGTATTTTGCCTTAGGTTTTAATGTGCAGTTTGTACCTTAATACCCAACTGCTCAAATAATGTGTTAACAGTCTGTTCAAATGTAGGCTTTCTCTCAGCAAAGCACCGTAAGAAATTTAGCGATATTAACTAATATTAGTGCACGCAGGATCTGGTTTTCTGAGTAAGTCCGTTTGCTGCATCTAATGTGCGATGTAAACCGTCACTCTCGGTTGCGAGGCCACGACGGGAGGGCAGAGGTTCTGCTGGCAGAAGAATATTGACGGCTGAGAAACTGTAAATGCTTCTCCAGGTTTCCTTCACCTTCTCACCATTAAACTTTAATGGTGTGAATGAGGCTGTGACAGTCCAAAATCCAGAGTTAGTTGTTTACCATGGGCTTCTGTGAGAGCAGGGAGAGGCTAATAGAAGGCAGGCTTGGGAATATTATTTAAATTTTTAATTTCAGGGTTTTTTTAAATAAACCAGCCCTGTTCTGTCAGATGGTCAGCTTCCTGACTGATCACCTCAGCTGGCTTTGCAGAGGAGACAACTTACCAGAGGCATTGTTACTCAAACGTGCGTATGGACTCTTTCTTGCAGACCATAGTCAGGAGGTGACAGTGTTAAGGTGTCTCCTGGATTGACTAAAACAGTCTTGGAATATGGTTCCCATCTCCGTGTCCCAGAGACTTTTTGAATAAATGTTTTTGTCCTGGGTTTTAGAAAAGACAACTTGGAATTTTTCCCCTATCTTCCATGCTCTGAAGCCCTACAAAAAGTACCGTCCTCCAGTTGGGTGTTGTGCTGGAAGGGGAGGGATACCGGCATTCAGACTTGCGTCCCCTGTGACTTGCTGTGCGGTGGCCCTGTTACTGCTCTGCCTTCTAGGTAGGTTGTCTTTGAGAGCGTCTCGCAGGACTCTGCGTGTGTGTCTGGAGGGGTTAAAGCCTCCAGAAAGACCAAGAAGAGAAGCAGAGGAAGTAATTTTCAATCAGGCAGAGCAGGGGGTAAGACTACAGCCTTGGTCCCTTCCTTGCAAACACTAGATTTGGCTGCTCTGGGGAAATTTCACACCGTTAAAGCATAGCAGGTGGTAGGGCGAAGAGAAGGTGTGATTTTATTTTTATTGCCAAAGACGACTTGTAGTTACTTTTACTTTCCCTTGTTATTGGGATACAGGTACATGCTGTGGTGGAAGCAGGTGGTGAATCAGCAGTAGCTGGAGGAAGACTGTCATAGCGAATGACTGGGACGTTGTTACTGGGAGTGATGGAGCTGGGACAGAACAAACAGAGATCTTTTCTTTCTGCTTTCCTGAACATCCCCAAAGCAGGAAGCGCACGAGTCCTACTTCGTGCAAAGCTCACTTTACCATACATGCCAAGCTCTGCTCTTCCTTTATTAACAAAGGGGGAAGGAGGAAATGGGAAACTTCATGTTGCCTAGGTGTGGGGTTAGTACCAGTCTGATTTATCTGGGCGGGGAAGCGTGTGTAAAGAATTGACTGTACTGAATTTGGGTGTGAATGAATCTCTGTCGTGAGTGAGATGATGTTTGGCTCCTAAAAGAACTGCAGTTGGCTTTTATGCCCAATTGGGCCTTTAATAAGCTGTACACGTTCTTCCCTGAGGGAGCTGGTAACTAGCCTGACCTCAGCCTTCTGCTGGCTGTGTCTCGAGCCGTGTTTCAGCAATGCGATCCCGCTCTGACAAGCGCTTTTGTGTAAGTACCTGCAACGCAGGCAGGCTTTAAGTCATTGACAACAGATTCTTGATGCTTTATGATCATCATATAGAGAGGATCACCTCTGAGGGTTTTTTCCCCAAGTATTTTTAAATAGCTTATTTAAATTTAGCCTAACTGGTTTAAATACTAAAGAACTGTCATACACAACACTGATGGAAAGTATATCAAGGATTTTGACTGGTTTGTACCAGGCAGAACATCCCGACTACCTGGAAGATGTCAATACTTTCTGTATAAAAATGGACTCTGCTGAATAATGGTAACCGCGTGTACAAATGGGGTTTCACGCATGATTTCACAAAGGTAAATAGCAACTGATTAGTGGGAGGAGGAGGAAAACAAGTGCTGTACCTTTAATGGAGCTTATCTGAGTGATGGCTGGCACCCATTGGGAGTGGAGGTGGGTTACCTGGAATTATTCAGTGAGATTTCTCTTCCTGAGTGGCTTGGGACCTGTGGATTTCTGGTTGGTTCCAGCTGGCTGTAATAGATGAGAGAGCAGGAAATTAGGAGTCACAGAAACTAGTGCTGTTTTCAGTGAGATTTGAAAAGAAATGGTGAATCAATGAGGCAGAAGAGATGGGAGGGGGATTTTAATGGCCCTCCTAGCAATGAAGGTGGGGGAAGGGAGAGGGGCAAACATAAATGGTGCATATAGAACATGCTTCACCAAAAAAAAAAAAAGGGGTTTAGGCTGTTCATATTCCACATGACTTTACTTTTTAGTTGTGTTTGGAAACATGTGGAGGCAGAAACCCCGTTGCACTGTGTTTTCGACTCGCTGTTTTGTGTCCTGAACAAGATGCTGCAGAAAAGGGTGTGGTGTTACCTGATTACATGTTTGTTTTCTAAAGCTGTTTAGGAGACTTTAAATATAACTTTATCATTGTATACGGAGCTGGATGCTGCCAGGTTTATGGGATAACTTGTTTTTTAATCCATGATCCATAACCTCTGGTGTGTCTAGCTTAAATATGGCAATATCCTTCTTTCCAGTTTGAGAACCCCTACTTTTTTTTTTAAAATCACAGTATGAAACTGCCTTTTAAGGTTCATGGCTGGTTTCATCAAGCTTTTTTTTAGAGGAAATCTCTCTGAAATTAGTGTGTGGGGGGGGGTTGTGTGTTTTTTTTTTTTTTGAGGCATGCAAGATTGTTCTAGGCTTATTGTGAGTTGGGTGGGAGGAAGGAAGAGACACCTACGAACTGTTTTAAAGGGATCAAATGTGGGACAAGTGAGAACACACAACGTGATCAAAGATAGGCCGTATGGTTCCAGGAATGAGAGGTCATGCCTTGCTGACTGGTTGGAATTCCTTAAACAAGCTGCTGCCAAAAGTAATATGGATTTTGGTGTGTTTTTTGGGGAGGGTAGCACTGGAGACTAATGCTGTAGGACCTGATGGAGTCTGAAGGTTTATTTTAGTGAAGAAAAAAAAAAAGAAATCCAACCAAGAAACCCAACCTGCAGGAAGGGGAAAAACAGAATAAGGGGGGGAAGTGAGTTTAATTAGGGGAAGCTGGTGATGGTGGCTTTTTCTTTGTTTTTAAACTTCAGTTCATCATCCCTCTGACCTGCTGAGACACGGAAAATGAAAATCAAAGATTCTGCTAGACTGTAAGCGTAGCCGATCCAAAAGTTAAGCTTTTTGGAGTCAGTTGTGCTTTTGAGTCTTGGGCAATACTGGAATATCAGGGCTGAGAGTTTATTTTTCATGTGCAAGGATGAGTGGTGACACCTGGGGCCTCTGGTCTGCACGAGGGTGGTAGATCGTTGAGGAGCCCACTCCTACGTTTGCCTTGCGCTCCCCTAGCCGAAGGCCAGCGAGGAGACAGCGAGCACCTAGAAGCTCTTACGGGGTGAGTTCTTGGCTTAGGACACACGTTAGTGCAGTTGTGAGTGAAGCCTGGTATCACCCTGCAGTGGATTGGCACGTGTGTGGCCAAGATAATTTAAGAAAGGTTGCACTGATGGTGTAATAATTGTTTCTCATGGTATTTCTGCGAAAAGCTTTTCTATAAAAAGCAAATGTTTAGCAGCAGCAGTTGGGTTTCACACATCCATGCTCCCAGACGATATACGAGTGTAACTTCTGTCAGTGAAAGTGAGAAGAATCTGTGTCTTATCTCATCTGAAAGCTGTTACTGCCCAGAGTCCGGCTTCAAGCGGAGTTTCTGCAGGATGCTGCTTTTCTAACTGATGGCCTTGACCAGGTTTTGTCCTTACACTGTGGCTGTCACGGCGAATACAGCGTACGGAAGAGGTAAGGAGGGGCTCTGATTTGCCTGCACTTCCCAACAGGGAAAAGAAAACTCTTCTTTAATTGTTCACATCCATTTCCTGATGAATCTCACCTCAGAATCTCTTCTGTAATGGTGACAGAGAGCATTCAGCTGGCTTCTGCTTGGCTTGCATCTGGAAAGAAGCATTTGGTTGAGCTGTGTTGAC